GTCTCAAAGAGGATTAACTCCGTAATCCTCTTGTGAGCCTTGGGAGAGCAGGAGGCTGCGGAGGAGGAACGGAGCCAGGGAGAAGCTGAGCCGTCAGCTCAGCCCTTATCAGACCCTGGAGAATCTTCTCCATGGGTTAGCTAACCCCCAGTGGGGACTCCGGGGTGCCCATGCCACCGGAGGACAGTGTCATGGTCGTTTTAGGGACCACAGTAGTTACAACTTTCTTTCCTGTAGAGGTGATGCCTGAAGAGGAGCTCTCACCTCCATGGAACTGGGTTTAGGAAGGCCTTGCCCCAGAAAGCACTGTCCCCCAGTGTCCCCCCGAGCCCCTGTGTGTCCCCAGCTGGGCACTTTGGGGACAGTGGGGGAGTACAGAAGTCCCTGTGTGTCCCCAGCTGGGCACTGTGGGCACTTTGGGGACAGTGGGGGAGTACAGCTGGGACGGGGCTCTGCTCGGGCTGGAGATCCCATTTTCCGCGTGTGGCTGTGCAGCGGAGGCTCTGGCTTCCCACCAAAGGCTCTGGCGCTGGGACACCACTCTCTGTCTCACACACATAAGCACTCACTCTAAATTGCATCTTTTTGCTAATTAGCACCAATCATCTCCCCAGTTGCTCGGCCGGACGGAGCCGCCTGCCGTCTGCACACAGAAACGACAACCCGGTGTTCAGCGCCGGCCGGACACCCGACAGCCACCCCGGGGGACACCCCCACTGCCACCCGCTCCGGATCCCAGCAGGCCATCATGGTATGGTACGTCCCCGGGGTGACGCTGGTCCGGAGCAGGCTGGGGACTGCTGGGACCCTTGGGGCTGGAGCGCTCCAGCGTTCAGTGTGGGCCTGAGCCACAGGGGGGGTTCGTCGCAGCGTGACAATTTCACTGAATTTCACTGAATTTCACTGAATTTCACTGAATTTTTTAGAGTTGGAAGGGACCATAGAGATCATCTAGTCCAACTCCCCTGCTGAAGCAGGATTGCCTAGAGCTTGTCAGAGCATGTTACTCAGGAGCATCCAGGCGGGTCTTGAAAATCTCCAAGGAAGGGGACTCCACACCCTCCCTGGGCAGCCTGTTCCAGGGCTCTGCCACCCTCACCGTGAAGAAGTTTCTCCTCATATTTGAGTGGAACCTCTTCTGTTCCAACTTGTGCCCGTTGCCCCTCGTCCTCTCA